GCACTGACCCTCCCGACAGTGCGGCGCTACCTCAGCACTGACCCTCCTGACAGTGCCCGCTCCCTCAGGACTGACCCTGTGACAGTGCCTGCTCCCTCAGGACTGACCCTGTGACAGCACTCGCTCCCTCAGGACTGACCCTGTGACGGCGCCCGCTCCCTCCCTCAGGACTGACCCTCTGACAGTGCCCGCTCCCTCAGGTCTGACCCTCTGACAGTGCGGTCTTTGGCTGAATTCCACTGTGCACTTTGGTGATACTTACGTGATATACTTGTTGTAGAGAACAAATGCACTTTCCAAGTTGCCTTCATCTACGTAAACTGAAGCCATGCGAATGATTTCGACTCCGGAACGGAAGTATCTTCGTGGAGGGACATCATCGTTTACGTCCACTGAGCTGCCCTTCTTGGTGAGAGCCCGTACACGTTCCTCGGGAGACAAGCTGACATCAGAGTGTTCTGGCATTGCTCACTGTCTGCTCTGCCCAGGGGAAAGGATTGGTCAGTGCCAGGTCAAAACACAATGACAATTAGCTCTCAATCACTCTACTCGGCTTGACTAATTGCGAGGGTCACTGGGATCCCTCGGGAAATTAGTCAGGGCTTCGGGCCCTGAACAATTTCCTTAGCGCTTGCCCCAGGTTTAGCTGCAATGCTTTTCCAGTTGAGGATCCTGCAGCCACTTGCTGCTGATCATCACTTGCAAATGGTGGCCAACCTGTGGGTGGCCCTCAGAGGGTGAATACTGCCTGTGAAACTAAATCCATAGTTGGAGCACAAACTCACAGAGATAGGAAAGAAATGCCACAGCGGAATGAAGACTGGCATGTGCTAGATAGGGTAAAAGGACGCCATTTATCCAAAGACTGTCTAAGGTTGGAATATGGAAACAGAGGGAAGTCACTCTGCCTCTTGCATTTCTTCCTCCATTCCTAGCTCCAGATGCCACAGCTCAATAACTTTGATTGACAAAAAGCAGCAAAACTCCGATTTACAATTTATAAATGATCTCCTATCTATCTGCCTCCGTGAAAGAAAGTTTCTATTTTTTAATATTCAATGACTGAGCATATTCAGCAGATGATACCGAAATTGGTGATATAGTGGACAACAAAGACAGTTACATCAGAGCACAGCGGGATCTTGATCCGATGGGCCAATGTGCCAAGGTGTGGCAGATGGAGTTTAATTTAGATAAATGTGAGGTGCTGCATTTTGGAAAGGCAAATCAGGGCAGGACTTATTGGTAAGATCCTGGGGAGTGTTGCTGATCAAAGAGACCTTGGAGTGCAGGATCATAATTCCTTGAAAGTGGAGTCACAAGTAGACAGGGCGGTGAAGAAGGTATTTGGTACACTTGCCCTTATTGGTCACTGCATTGAGAACAGGAGTTGGGATGTCATGTTGCGGCTGTACAGTACATTGGTTAGGCTACTTTTGGAATACTGCATTTATGCCTTTCTTGTCTCCCAATTATAGGAAAGATGTTGTGAAACTTGAAAGGGTTCGGAAAAGATTTAAGGATGTTGCCAGGTTTGGAGAGAGGGAGCAATAGGGAGAGGTTGAATCGGGCAAGGCTATTTTCCCTGGAGCGTCAGAGGCTGAGGTGTGATCATACAGAAATTTATAATATCATGAGGGGCATGGATAGGATGAATAGCCAAGGGTAGGGGAGTCCGAAACTAGAGGGCATAGATTTAAAGTGAGAGGGGAAAGATTGAAAAGGGACCTAAGGGGCAACTTTTTCGTGCAGAGAGTGGTGCGTGTATAGAATGAGCTGCCAGAGGAGGTAGGAGGTAGTGGAGGCTGATACAACATTTACAAGGGTGGGTATATGAATAGGAAGGGTTTAAGAGGGATACGGGCCAAATGCTGGCAAATGGGACTAGATTAATTTAAGATATCTGGTCAGCATGGATGAGTTGGACCGAATGGTCTGTTTCCATACTGTACATCTCTACAACTTTCTAGGTCTTTATCCTTTATTCATTCACAGGATGATGGCGTCCCTGGCCAGGCAGCATTTATTGCCCATCCCTAATTGCCCAGAGGAAAGTTAAGAGTCAACCACATTGCTCTGGTTCTGGAGTCACATGTAGGCCCAGGCCAGGTAAGCATGACAGTTTCCTTCCCTAAAGGACATTAGTGACAATCGGCAATGGATTTATGGTTATCATTAGACTCTTAAATCCAGATATTTGTTAAATTCAAATTCCACGATCTGCCATGGTGGGATTCAAACCCGAGTCCCCAGAATGTTTTCTGGGTCTCTGGATTAACAGTCCAGCGATAATACCACTACGCCATCGCCTCCCTCTTTGGTAAGACAGTACCAAAGATTCCCAAACCTTTGATTGATAAAAAGTGACCTCTATGTTAAAGGGCTAACCTTTTATTCTGGATGGTGATCACTTGCTCTGGACTTTTCAATTTGGAGATACAGGTTTCCAGCATCTACATTGTCTCATCCTGCCTCTTTGCATTCAATGAATATATGAGATTATCTCTTATTCTTCTAAACCCCAGGGAATACTGGCCCAATCTACAACCTCCCTCATATAACAATTTTCTCATCCCTGGAATCAAGCCAATAAGAAACAAGTTTCAGGTCGAGTGACCCTTCCTCTGTCACTCGACCCGAAACATTAACTCTGATATCTCTCTACAGATGCTGCCAGACCTGCTGAGCTTTTCCAGCAATTTATCTTTTTGTGTCTGATTTACAGCATCTGCAGTTCTTCCAGTTTTTAATCAAACTAATAAGTCTTCAGTTCACTCGCTGTAGGGCAAGTGTGTCCCTCCTTAAGTAGAAACGCCAAATTTGTGTTTCGTGGAACACAATACTCATCAAGTAGTCTCACTAACGCCATATATAACTGCAGTAAACATCCTTTAGTCTCATTTACTAGTGCCTTTGCAATAAAAGCAACACATCATGTTTTCCTACTTGCTTCCTACATATGTATATTAGTTTTCTGTGATTCATGTACATGACTTATCTTTCAAAAAGTTCATGCTGATGGTCCCCAAACATGTTGTGATTCTCTAAGCACCATGATACCACTCTCCTAATCATAGATGTTAGCATAGTCCTGATTCCTGTTGTCAGTTTTCTTGTTTGTCATTTACCACATCCCTCTTCTCTTCTTGGCTTTTGTTTGCAACTGTAGGCACCAAGTCTAGAGAAGTCTGGAAGATCACAAGTTTCTGTCCACATTGTCAGTTCCTGACAGCTGTTAATCCTCAGTTCCAGAAGTATCCTCTCAAATCTGTTTCTGCATTTCCTCTAGTGCTCCTATTTTGCTGTGGTGTTGTTTGGAGACCAGAATTATGCACAATATCCATATTACAATCATCTTCAGTGTTAGCTATTCAGAGAAAATATTATAGAATTGTTTGCAGAACAGAAGAAGCTCAGTCTGCTCTCTTAAGCTCTGCAAGAGAAATTCAGCTAGTCTCATTTCCTGATATTGCCTGCTAAACCTGTTTTCAAAAATTTGGTTATCGATGCTGACTCTATATTTCCTGACTTTGGTTGTGAACAAATTCCGTGATTATATAGCAAAGAATTTTTGAAAGTGACATTTGCCAAATTACCTTTGTCTACTATTTCCATATTGGTTGCTTTTAAATCAGCTGGGATATCTTCAAATGTCGTCACTTTGTCCAAAACTGAGACAGCACTCAACTCAGTTCATCAACTTGTTACCTATCAGTTTAGGCAGGTGGATGTGGGTAACAGTAGGATGTATAAAGGACTTGTGGTAAAGATGCCATGAGAGAGTAACTTTGACTGATTGAGCATCGGTTTCACGGTCGAGAATGCAAAGAAAAGGATAAGAACGAGAAGCAACAGATGAAGAGGGCATCAAGGAGATTGCCAAATGGCGGATGGGGAAGTGAGGAGATGGAGGGTAAATCTCCGAAACTGAAGCACAGTAGGCTTGATTGACAGCAAACTGGTTCCAGGTCTTGATGTCACGGGGTGGCGTAAGGTTGCTAGGGGATGAGTCCAGTTGTCAGGGAGTGGGTTTTGATCTCGAGGGGAGGAACCTGGTTGTTACGATGTTGCTGATGCTGGAGTCAGAGATAACAGTGTGGAGCTGGAGGAACACAATAGGCCAGGCAGCATCAGAGGAGCAGGAAAGCTTACGGCTCAGGTTGGGACCCTTCTTCAGAAATCAGGGAGGGGGAAGGGAGCTCTGAAACAAATAGAGGAGGAGGGGTGTGGCTGGGGAAGGTAGGTGGGATCGTGATAGGTGAGTGCAGGTAGGGAATGTTGGGGGTTGATCAGTGAGGTGGGAGGGAAGATGGACAGGTAAAGGAGGCGGGGATGAGAGGGAGATAGGTAGGAGAGAAGATGGACAGGGCTGGAGAAGGTAGGTGGGATGGCGATATGCGAGTGCAGGTAGCCAGTGGTGGGGATTGGTCAGGGAGGTGGGAGGAGCGGATGGGTGGGAGAGAAGACAGATAGGTCAAGGAGGTGGGGATGAGAGGGAGATAGGTAGGAGAGAAGACGGACAGGTCAAGGAGGCGGGTATGAGAGGAGCTGCAGAAGGTAGGTGGGAAGGCGATAGGTGAGTGAAAGTAGGCAGTGGTGGGGATTGGTCAGTGACATCGGAGGTGTGATAGGTGGGAGAGAAGACAGACAGGTCAAGGAGGCGGGGATGAGAGGGAGGGTTGGTCATAGGATGAGGCCAGAGGTGGGGAGATTTTGAAACAAGGAAAGTCCACATTGAGACCATTGGGCTGTAGGTTCCCAAGGCAGAATATGAGGTGTTGCTCCTCCAGTTTCCAGGTGGCGTTGTTGTGACACTGGAGGAGGCCCAGGAGGTGGGGGGCGGAGTTGACATGGTTCATGATTGGAAGGTGTTGTTGTTTGTCGCGAACCAAGCACAGGAGTTCCACAAAGAGGTTTCTGAGCCTCCGCTCGGTCTCACCAATGTAGAGGAAGCCACATCGGAAGCAGCAGATGCAATAGACCACATTAGCGGATGCGCAGGCAAACATCTGTCTAATGTGGAAGGTTTCTTCGGGTCCTTGGAAGGAGGTGAGGGGGGAGATGTAGGGGTAAGTGTAGCATTCCTGCGGTTGCAGGGACAGGTGCCGGGGATGGTGGGGCTAGTGGGGAGTATGGAGCGGACGAGGGAGTCGCGGAGAAAGCGGCCCCCATGGAAGGCAGATAGGGGTGGGGAGGGAAATATATCTTTGGTTGTGGGGTCAGATTGCAGGTGGAAAAGAATGATACGTTGAATCAGGAGGTTGGAAGGGTGACAAGTCATGGCAAGGGTTTTGGGCTCTGGGGTGGAGTCTGGTTGTTAGGGGGCGGGGTTTGATCTGTATGGGCGGAACCCGGTTCTAACCACGCGGGACCTGGGAGTTAGGGGCGGGGTTTGGTATCTAAGGGAGGAGACAATTGTCAAAGGGTGTGGCTTAGTCTGCAAGGGGAGCCCGGATGTCAGTGGGCAGAGCTTAGTCATGACAGGCGGGGCCTAAATGTTTAGGGGCCGGGTTTGTGGAGACGGGCGGGGCCTGAATACCGAGGGACCGTGTTTAAGGCTTCAGGGCGTCTTGTGTGACAAGGTGGGGTGGAGCTTTGTTGTCGGTGGGCGGAGCGTGGTCTCGAGGGGAGGGGGGCTGGATGACTCGAGGCGTGCGTTGCATCTAGGGGTGCCATTGTAGTCGGGGGCGGGGTTTAGTCTGAAAGGGAGGCCTTGGTGGTCGGGGG